CTGGCCACTAGCCACTCACCGTCTGTCACTGGCCACTAGCCACTCACCGTCTGTCACTGGCCACTAGCCACTCACCGTCTGTCACTGGCCACTAGCCACTCACCGTCTGTCACTGGCCACTAGCCACTCACCGTCTGTCACTGACCACTAGCCACTCACCGTCTGTCACTGGCCACTAGCCACTCACTGTCTGTCACTGGCCACTAGCCACTCACCGTCTGTCACTGGCCACTAGCCACTCACCGTCTGTCACTGACCACTAGCCACTCACCGTCTGTCACTGACCACTAGCCACTCACCGTCTGTCACTGGCCACTAGCCACTCACCGTCTGTCACTGGCCACTAGCCACTCACCGTCTGTCACTGGCCACTAGCCACTCACCGTCTGTCACTGACCACTAGCCACTCACCGTCTGTCACTGACCACTAGCCACTCACCGTCTGTCACTGGCCACTATCCACTCACCGTCTGTCACTGGCCACTAGCCACTCACCGTCTGTCACTGACCACTAGCCACTCACCGTCTGTCACTGGCCACTAGCCACTCACTGTCTGTCACTGGCCACTAGCCACTCACCGTCTGTCACTGGCCACTAGCCACTCACTGTCTGTCACTGACCACTAGCCACTCACCGTCTGTCACTGGCCACTAGCCACTCACCGTCTGTCACTGGCCACTAGCCACTCACTGTCTGTCACTGACCACTAGCCACTCACCGTCTGTCACTGGCCACTAGCCACTCACCGTCTGTCACTGGCCACTAGCCACTCACTGTCTGTCACTGACCACTAGCCACTCACCGTCTGTCACTGACCACTAGCCACTCACCGTCTGTCACTGGCCACTAGCCACTCACCGTCTGTCACTGGCCACTAGTCACTCACCGTCTGTCACTGGCCACTAGCCACTCACCGTCTGTCACTGACCACTAGCCACTCACCGTCTGTCACTGGCCACTAGCCACTCACCGTCTGTCACTGACCACTAGCCACTCACCGTCTGTCACTGACCACTAGCCACTCACCGTCTGTCACTGACCACTAGCCACTCACCGTCTGTCACTGACCACTAGTCACTCACCGTCTGTCACTGACCACTAGCCACTCACCGTCTGTCACTGACCACTAGTCACTCACCGTCTGTCACTGACCACTAGCCACTCACCGTCTGTCACTGACCACTAGTCACTCACCGTCTGTCACTGACCACTAGCCACTCACCGTCTGTCACTGACCACTAGTCACTCACCGTCTGTCACTGACCACTAGCCACTCACCGTCTGTCACTGACCACTAGTCACTCACCGTCTGTCACTGGCCACTAGCCACTCACCGTCTGTCACTGACCACTAGCCACTCACCGTCTGTCACTGACCACTAGCCACTCACCGTCTGTCACTGGCCACTAGCCACTCACCGTCTGTCACTGACCACTAGCCACTCACCGTCTGTCACTGACCACTAGTCACTCACCGTCTGTCACTGGCCACTAGCCACTCACCGTCTGTCACTGACCACTAGCCACTCACCGTCTGTCACTGACCACTAGCCACTCACCGTCTGTCACTGGCCACTAGCCACTCACCGTCTGTCACTGACCACTAGCCACTCACCGTCTGTCACTGACCACTAGCCACTCACCGTCTGTCACTGGCCACTAGCCACTCACCGTCTGTCACTGACCACTAGCCACTCACCGTCTTCCAAGATGAAAACGAGAGATAAAGGCGAGCTTATGAGAACTATACTTGTGATGAAGCTTAGTGCTTCAGGACACCACTGATCCCTGCCTGTGACGCCTTCCCTTCCCACAATAACATCTGATACTCCAGCAACATCAGTGCCACCCATGATGTAACATCAGTGCCACCCATGATGTAACATCAGTGCCACCCATGATGTAACATCAGTGCCACCCAGCGTTGCAACATCTAGCAATATATCTGTAGCTTGAACAAATCCTTACAGGCAAAAAATATCAAGAGTACGCAATAGTGTTTATGAAGATGATGTAAGGAGCCCAGGAGGTATGTTGCTCGTCGTCTTGCACACTTGTCACTTGCTGCACATGCAAGGGAGGGCGTTAAAGGGGAGAGAGAGTAGAGAATTATACGGGGGGAAATGCTTATTGTTGAGGGAGAGGCAGGGACTTAGTGTAGGATAAAATGACAGTCGCAGTACAGCAGTGTGATGCGAGGTGGTGACAAGAAGTCACAACATAGGAATTTTATACGAGCTGAACTGTTACCCTAAAGTTGCTTTTCACACGCCTGTTACAAGTGTCACTACGAAGTGCCTTCAATGGTTCATGGGATTGCTCCTTCCTGCTCGAGTACCTCTTAACCTTGACTGACTCCATAACGGTACTGCCTCAGCCGCTAGTTTGTTGTGCACCCGCACAATGTGAGCAAAAATTAAATACAAAAGGATTACAGAGGTCAGTGAAACAATCCGACACTACCTACAAGCTAGTAAGTTGATGGACTGCGACCATTCAGGGAGGTACTACTATCCTGCCAGGTGTGTGCGAAATGAAAACATGTTAATTTGTTACACTGGCAGGATTGCTCATCTTGTCTTTTGCATCATGAACACGTAAGATGACAGGTAACTCTTACGAACCTCTACTTACGCAGGTTTTACTGATGAGGTTAAGTTGGTTGTTCAGTTGCTTTGCTTGGTAAGCTGGGTTGGTGAGTCAGCTGGTGAGAACTGGCTGAAGGCTGCGTGCTTGGGAGTCCATCACTAAGGAAGATGCTACTCTGACCTTAATGTTTGTCATGTAAGACTGTGACGAGCATCACATGTTAGAGCAGAGCCCCGCCAGGTACCCAGGTGTGACCAGCTATGTGCTCAGTAGCTAACATGGTGACTTAAGTCATGCACAAGATGGTCAGTCATGCTCATGTCTGCATGGAGACAACCATGGTACACCACACATCCAGTCCCCCTCTCCCCCCCACACACACACATACACATCATCACGTCAATCACATGATCCACAACAGCGACGTAATTGCAAACTTCATGTCAAAGACGATCTGCAGGGGTCACGCCAGGTCACAGCTAAGGTCGTACAAGGTCATTTGACAGGAAGAGTTTGTGAAACCCAAGAGTGAAAGTCGGGTCAAAGGTCACACCAACAAATAAAAACGTGAAAGTCCTTGTAAATAAACACACTTGAGTTTAGGGAAGAGTTTTAACATCGTCGAACACGGGGAGGGCACCATCAGTGAACACCGGAAGGAAGGCACCATGGACGCCTCTCTGGCAAGTCACTACTGGTATCACCACTATTGTACATTACGACAGACTCTACACGTTGCTGTGATCTACCATAGAACCACAATCACCAGGTACTAACCACAGAACCACAATCACCGGGCACCAACCATAGAACCACAGCCACCAGCACCAACCATAGAACCACAGTCACCAGGCCCCAGTCATAGTCATTAACGGGATGTTTCTCGTGGAAGCACTGAAGATTCATGGTATGACTAAGACTTACGACAGGATACAGCAAGACAATACGAACTTGACGTAAACATAAATATAAAAGCCTGTGACGCAGGACGCACAACCACACGAACATAATGTTACAGTACAACCAGGGAACCTAGAGAACGGCACAGCCGCTAGATTAGGATTTATACATTGACGGGCGAGTTTCTTGGTCAGTGGCATTCATCCTGTGAGTGAACATTCTACCATAAAAACAGTACCGGAGAGTAGCACTCATCATGTGAGTGAATCTTCCACCGTAAAGATAGTAGTGAACAGTGTCATTCATCCTGTTAGTGAACATACTACCATAAAAACAGTACATTACAGCTTCAATATATAGGTACCATTATCAGTGAAAAATATTATGTAATTGCAGCAATTTCTGCATGTCTTTGTGCTGTCAACTTTAGTTACAAGGTGCTGACACTACTCTTGTATGACTGTATATTAATTCCATAATCTTGTATCCTGCTGTATTCCATGATATAGTGCTGACGAGTGTTTGTCCTCGTCTCCACATTCTTCAAGACTACGGTGCTCATCACCTGCTAGACTGAGAGACTGATTACCTCGATTTTTGCATATACTTTTACAGTCTTCACATTATGTCCTTGTATTGATAAAGCCACTGAATGGCGAAATGTTTACAAATTAAAGATACCCAGATGTTGCACATGTGACTAGTTCTTCATATTGTCGGTGTTGTATATCACTCTATACAACTTTACATTGTCTTTCTTCTCTCGGAGTTACCACACCAACTTGCCACGTAAACATGTCTTTTAAACCAACCCTGGCCACCACCGTCTCTACTCTTCTGTTTCCACTTCTCTTGTCAAAAACATAGACATCCTTACTAAGGCACGGTCATTGTAACAGTGAGACCGAGGGTGAGGTCCTGTGGAGAAGCAGCAGTCGTGAACCCTCCCTCCTTCCCAGGCGAGGTCAAAGCAGGTCACAAAGTTCTAGTGGCTCCTCAGGGCAACTAAAGAGCAATATGACAATTTCACTGAAGTTAACCCATTTTATCAGAATGAAGTTTTATATTGGTTTGGTTAATTTTCAATGAAATTTCGGCAATATTAAAATCTTTGGAGACCAACAGGAAAAAAAAATGCGATTCAAAGAGATGAAAAGTGTAATGAAAGATGCGAGGGAAAACTGGTGGTGTGGAATGTCAAAACTGGTAGTATGAAAGTTTAAAGCTAGCAGTGTGAGACGTCAAAACCGGTGTTGTGAACGTCAAAATTAGTGGTAGGATACATCAACGAATGCTGACTCGCTAGTGATGATAAAGATAATGATAAAGGTAATTAGGCAAGACCCACCTGGTCTCCCGCCCTCCATCACCTACTTACTACTCTGTCTGCTGGAAAACATACATACCTGCCAGGACACCACGCACGTATGACGGAATTGATTCCTGCCACACAGCTGCAGGGGAACACAGTACCTATCTACTACAAAGGTGCAGAGGAACACAATACGTACCTGCTTGGGTTCCTGAGCCTCATCTTCGTCAGTGTCGCAGGAGTGTACACTCCACCTAGCGTACTGCTGCGCTACCGTCTGCGCTACCGCCTGGATCACTGAATGTAGGTGATCCGTCAACATCCTGCTTGACCTCCTTGACAGGTCAACCTTCACCTGATGATGCTCCCAGACAGGTCAACGTCCACCTGATGCTGCTCCTTGACGCCCACCGTCACCACCTACTTAACTGTACACTCATGCGGGGGCGTTGACCCCCGAAACCCTCTCCAGGTATACTCCAGGTATATATATTCTGACAGCGTTCACATTAAACCACACGCACTGGCAGTAGTGGCACTGACACTAACAGTCACTGCCAGTAATGGTCACTGCGAGTGGTGCATAACTGGCCCAGGAAGTGTCCACTCTAACTCACAAGTACAAATTAAAAAGCACTGATACTGTTGCTCATTTTTACCAGGTTTATTTATGTCTGAGTTTAGAGCAATAGATTTCTAAAATAAAGATACATATTATTTAATGCAAGGTTGTATGGTGGGAGAAGAGGACGCCGTAGAAGTGTAGCAGTAGTAGTAACAGTGTTGTTGGTGCGACGTAGATGTATAGTAGCAGCAGTAGAAGTGTTATTGGTGCGACGTAGCAGCAGTAGCAGTGTTGCTGGTGCGACGTAGGGGTGTTAGAAGCAGCAGCAGCAGTATTGCTGACGATATGGAGGAGGGGAAGCTGTGGTGGTGACGCTCACACAGGCAAGTTATAAC